TGCAATGCTAAAAACATCAAAGTCGTTGAACAAAAGTTTTTTGAAACAGGTCATAGTCAAAACGAATGTGACTCAATGCACTCATGTATTGAAAGACAATTCAGTAAGTCAAATGTATTTCTCCCATCAGGATTTCAGCAACACATGAAAAATGCCAATAAACGCAAACCCTACAATATTTCAGAACTTAGTTTTGATTGTTTTTATGATTTTTATGAGTTAAATTCCAAGGTTTTTAAACAGAATGCATTCGCTGGAATTATATCAACACAACATATTGTTTACTCAATAGACCATAAGGATGTTAAAGGGACATTTGCTGATGAAATTGGTGGCAAGCATTGTGAAAAGGCCTACAGAAATGAAATGAAATGGAGTTTAACGTCCTACTGTTCTGCTCCTAACCTGGGCTAATGAAGACGGGCATACGCCATACAGTGTGCTATGAGGGAAATTTTGCCCGGACAGCGGCACTACGGCCTACTCTTATATCGAATTCCAACTGCCAAGGGATCTTTTACGTGCACGCCAATGTGTACACGGGACCTCGGTTTTCCGTCCCATCCGAACGACTAGACAGCTTTCCTTGTCAGCCCCTCCGTCCTGCATCACTGACAAGGGAGAACCAGAAAAGGCCTACAGAAAACGTGGTCAACCGGTTAATTTAATTATTGTGTACTATCACAGGCATACACTTCTCAGCTAAACATCGATGTTCAGAAACGAGACGATTTATTGAAATTGTCTGAGTATCTTCCAAAAGATTGTCAAGATTTCTATAGACAATTACCTGTAGATTAAGCATCCAAGTGAGAAGTATAAATTAACAGTATGGTCAATGTTAATTCATTTTATCTTGTTCATATTTCCCCAAAATGTGATAGTATAATACTCATATTAATTCTTAATAATAAAATGTATTTGGTCTAGTCTATTTATCTTTTATTTATTGGGTCAATGTGCGTTTTTTTGGTTACTTCCTGCACTTACGACACTTTTGCACCAACATCTACGCCAAAATGTGTTAATAGATTTTATCTTGTTCATATTTCCCCAAAATGTGATATTATAATAGTTATATTAATTCTTAATAATAGAATGTATTTGGTCGAGTCTATTTATCTTTTATTTATTGAGTCAATGTGCGTTTTTTTGGTTACTTCCTGCACTTACGACAATTTTGCACCAAACATCTAGGCCGAAATTTGTTGGAGCAAAAATGTCGTAAGTGAATTTTGGCTATGAGCCAAAAATTTATACAAGGCCCAAAAAACACTCAATCACTCGAAAATAATTATAAATCAGAGATATAAATCTCATTAGTAAATAAATAATGACAAGGAATCGTCATTTTTATTTAAATCTTTAAATGCAATTTTCTCCATTTTCTCAAAATGTCACTTAAACGGCATTCTTGCTCCAAGCCAACGATATGTCCAATCTACAATCCAGATAAACAGGAGCTTAACTAAACACTGATTGTTTGCAGATTCATTAGATCACTACGAAACAAGTGACTAGGTTTGTGATCCAAATCCAGATCTATGTTTAACATGGAATTTTTACCATTGTTCAATGTGCCCCATCGTGTGGTTTAACCTGCCCCAACTATTTTGTACAGCGGGGTACATTGAACAATTACGGTCAAGTGGATTAAAATGTGTGTTTTAAAAAAGTTAAAAATAAATTGAATTGAATCTGATAGGCCTACACAATAGCAACTATGATATGTCTTCAAACAATACAATTAAGTAAAGAGATCTTCTAATACAAACACTTGTTATGGAAGGACAACCATGTATGTGAAAAAACTGGTTCAATGTGCCTGACCTCTCCTACACAATAAGAACTTTAAAATAGCCATTATTGACCACAGATACAAAGAATATGCCAACAATGCTCTATGCACAAAGTTGAAGCACATTTTTGACTAGAATGTCCACTGTATGAAGATTTACGTACCATCTACATATACCCAACATTTACAGACTAGGCCTACTCTATTCTCTAGAAAATATATTTAAGCCACCCAAAACAGTTGCAAAATCAGTGTGTTTGTATTTCATGCAATGAATCTAAGAACATAAAATGTGTAGAGCTACATGTATCTCTACCTTTTTTTCCATAAATTAATATATTCCATTCCATGTTATTACTTGATTCATAGAATGCTTTTAGCATTCCTATATCATATTTCCATGTAAATACCTATATACTAACTCTTCTCGTATTTATGTATTTATAATATTTATACCCATGCATCATAATTGTATTGAATGCTGTGCCATTATCAAACCTGTTTGAGGTAAAAGTGTATATATGTGACAGTCAATGTCTACAATCAGGCAATGTGTACAATGCCTGAAATATACCAGTCAATGTGTACATTGCTGGGTTAGGGTTAGGGTTAGGGTTACAAAGGCATTGTACACATTGCCTGATTGTAGACATTGACTGTAACATATACATACTGTTTATCCGGTTAGTAAATGTGTATGCAACCTAGATTAAAATTACAGTTTGCCTTCTTTGTAAATATATATACTATTCAAAAAAAGTAGGGGATATTTGATTTTTAAGTGTTATTAAAGTCACCTAATGAAACTGACGAAGAAACAAATGACAAAATGAAATGAAGTTCACATTCATCGATTTATTCCAAATGATCGTTAGACTAAGTAAGGCACAGACTGACCATTATAAGGGTAAAATGATACCCGGGGTCAAACAGCAAAGTTACCACAGCATCACAACCAAGTCAGTAACGGGTAAATCCTCCTCTGTTTGCCAAACAAGCATTGATCCGACGTGGCATACTCCTAATGAGACGTCTAAGGTCATTTTGGTCCAGATTGTCCCATTCCTGTTGCAACGCAGCAGCAAGTTCTTGGACATTGGCAGGACGTTGTTGACGTTGACGTAACCTCTGTCCAAGCATGTCCCAGACATGCTCGATGGGGGAGAGGTCGGGACTCAGTGCTGGCCAAGGTAAGGTGGTGATGTTCTGTTGTTGGAGGTAACCTGTAACGATCCTGGCCCTGTGACATCTTGCGTTGTCATCCTGGAAGATGAAACGGCGGCCATGACGTCGTGCGAACGGCACAACATGGACTGCCAAGATGTTGTCCCGATAGTACTGGCCTGTAACACGCCCTGCAACAACATGTAAAGCCGTTCTTCGAGCAACAGTGATGCCTCCCCACACCATAACAGAACCGCCCCCAAATCGATCATGTCTGATGACGTTAACGTCTTGGAAGCGCTCGTTTCGACGACGCCACACCCTCCTACGTCTGTCCAAAAAATCAACAGTGAACCTTGACTCATCTGAAAACATCACATTGCTCCACTGTCGATTATCCCAGTGTTGACGATCCCTACACCAACGACGTCTTGCCTGAATGTGATGATCTCTCAAACAAGGGATCACGCGAGGACGTCGGGCGCGAAGGTGACCCCTTTGCAGTCGATTCCGAATCACCGGCCACTCACTCTCACACCAGTGTCTGTTTGAAGACGAGCGCTGATCTGATTTGCTGTGATGACACGATTTCTCAAGGCCAAGGTACGGATAAATCGATCCTGGGATTGAGTTGTCGCCCTTGGTCGACCTGAGCGTGGTCTGTCCTGTACAGATTGTGTATCACGGTATCTGGACCATAGCCTGCTTATGACAGAATGAGAAACATTCATCGTCCGCGCCACAACCGCCTGTGTTGTGCCGATCTGTAGCATGCCAAGGGCACGTAACCTTTCATTTTGGGTAAGCCGACGCATATCAAAATTTGTTTTCTGGTCACTAAAACAATTAAACTGATGTTTCCACCCTGGAATTCAATGCCACAATGACTGTAACATTCAAAGTCAGAGTCGTGCAAATCTTGGGTTGGACCCCCATGATGATCCCAAGCATCACCTGCATTCCATGCGGTAGCTATTGGTGCGTTTGGGCGTCACATGTAACTGGAAATGTTTCTTCTGTTAGGTTCTATAGTGACTTTTTTCGTAGTCATTTGCATATTTTAGTATTATGCCCCCAAAATCAAATATCCCCTACTTTTTTTGAATAGTATATATTATTTGTCATATTCTATAAATTTATGTACATATTTATATTGTATGCTGTCCTCAACATCATACTTTAACATTTTATCAACATCATATAGTATATGATGTTGTAATGCCTACTGGTCATGCATTCCTTACCCATGGAGGAATACAGGTGATTCTCGATTAGGGCAAGAGGGCAGTAAACTTATACATTATGGGGCGCTAAGGGATATCCAAACACAAAATTCAGCGCCATACATGTGCATCCAATACGATCCGTTCAAATAAGAAATGAAAATGAAATGAAATGGGGTTTAACATCCTACTGTTCTGCTCCTAAACTGGACTAATGAAGACGGGCATACGCCAAGGGATCTTTTACGTGCACGCCAATGTGTACACGGGACCTTGGTTTTTCGTCCCATCCGAATGACTAGACAGCTGTCCTTGTCAGGCCCTCCGTCCTGCATCACTAACAAGGTCCAGAAAATCTGGATGGACTTTCTCGGCCAATCGTTCAAATAAGAGAAAAAAAGCAAATGAGAAGTCTCCATGCAGTGTGCGATGAGGAAACTTTTGCCAGGACAGCGATGTCTTCGCCGATTCTTCTGAATTCAAACTGCCACTATGCACACGGGACCTCCAGCTTAGTGAGCCATCGCCTTACTCACCGAGACTCGACATTGACTTTTATGCCCGAGCACTGGAGACTGGCACATGGACTCTTGCACACGTCGAAGGGTCCTTTTGTGGTCTCGGGGTCCCCTTTCGTGGACTTGGGGGCCCTCCAACTGGATGCAGGGCCCTGTCTTAAATATGTTTCTTTCCGTTTTGTTTATGGACATTTTCAAGAACTCTGATACTCTCACCAAAATGAGGTCACTGAAATGAAAAGGTTGATATTTATAGGACGAAAAGAGCTTTTATTTACTTTACAAAACAATTAAAAGTTAGTATTGCACATTGTTTATACATGTTTCTGTTTCTGATTTTAACAAACATAAAATATGGTCAAATATACAAATATAATGTCTAGAATAACAATAAAGTAATGGGTTGTTTATGACAACATTATTAATTATTAAAAACAGTGAATAATGTACATAGGTTTATTATTATTGTTGTTGACTTGATTTTAAGAGGGAAAACCTCATGTTCTTCCATTTCTAATCAATTCTCAAATTCACACAATGATAAATGGGTAGTTTGTGAGTAATACTTACATGTAACAAATAATGGCATGAAATACTGGTATTACATGCTTTCATACATTTTACATAATAATGAAACTTTCCAAATTCAAATTTAATTTGTATAATATTACATTTTCGGTCTTAAATAGATTGAACTCCTTAATAGATGAATCTTTATTAACATTTTACATTTGGTGGGGGACGCTCAAAAACATATTTTCTCTCCAATTGTGGATTATTTTTCAAACCAGAGTAATATTTACATTATATAGTTTTAATTATGATCAGTGGGACCCCTAAAAATGTCAAAAAGAGTACAACATTCAATCAAAACTCCAAAAATATGTAAGGTTTATGTGAACTTCTAAAAAAAAGATATGGTATCAGATAGTCTGAGAATACCTAGTTCCTTTAGGCGGTCTCTCATGGACAAAGTCTCTGAGAATACTCTGCTTTAAGTGCTTGACGCCTGTCACTACTTAAAGGCAGGTCCATTTATTTACCGAAAACAACCTGTATTTGCTTAAAACTGAACTTTATCATGTATATTTTTATTTTATATTTTATGTTGGGATCTTTGTTGTTATAAAGATAAAGAACATCAGAATGTTAAAAAAAAATGTTATGGATTTAAAATTGAAGTCAATAGAGAGAGAATTACTATTTGATTCCATAATCACTAGGATGACAATAAGAGTTGTCTCTCTTAAATTTATTTACGATTTTCTTTTTCTCAAAATTATTATTAAAAAAATAAGAGAATGAAGTTTAGGGAATAGTAATTTTCTATAAATTTATAAAGAAAGAATCCAGCGGCTGCCAGGCAGGATACAGTAACATTTTGCAAAAGATGGATAGAGAACAAGCTAAAAACAAAAACGATTTTTTGTACAATCAGGGGCCATAATCCAGAAAGTTATGGTCTGAAATGCGCAAATATCAAAAGGGACTGAGATTTTTGGAATATAAAGATATGTTTTAAATTTCATCAAAATCAGATAAAAATTGTGACCTCTAGAGGGTCCATAACCTTTGTATGACATACTTATACACAATTTGAGTACAAAGAGCGGCCATTTTGTCAAGCAGCTTCATTTCAATTTTCCCTAACTTCGAATTAAACTTTCATTATGGTGGAATGGTGATATATCTAAACGGTTTTTAAAATCGAAAAAAAAAAATTGTGACCTCTAGAGAATCCACAAGCTAAAAATGCGATTTTTCAACCAATCAGGGGCCATAATTCAGGAAGTTACGTTCGGATATGTGTGATTATCAAAAGGAACCAAGATCTTTATGATAACCAGCAGCTGCCAGACAGGATACACCCACATTTTGCAAGAGATGGATAGAGAAGCTAAAAACAAAAACGATTTTTTGTAGCCTACAATCAGGGGCCATAATCCAGAAAGTTATGGTCTGAAATGCGCAAATATCAAAAGGGACTAAGATATTATAAAGAGATGTTTTAAGTTCCATCAAAATTGGATAAAAATTGTGACCTCTAGAGGTTCCATAACCTTTGTATTACATACTTATACACAATTTGCGTACAAAGAACGGCAATTTTATCGGGCAGTTTCATTTTGATTTTCCCGAAATTCGAATCCAACCTTCATTATGGTGGAATGGTGATATATCTAAACGGTTTTTAAAATCGAAAATCCACGACCCATCAGGGGCCATAATCCACGAAGTTACGTTCTGATACTGATATGAATGATTATCAAAAGGAACCAACATCTGCATGATAAAAACATATTTTTAAAGTTTCGTCCAAACCGGATAAAAACTGTGGCCTCTAGAGGGTCCACAACCTTGATATACCATATTTTTACACTATTTGCGCACAAGGGGCGACCATTATGTCCGTCAATTTTTGTGCGATTTTCACAAAATTCGAACTCAACCATCATTAGTGTATAACTGTGATATATTCACACGTTTTTTTTTTTAAATCGGATAAAAATTGTGACCTCTATAGGGACCACAAGCTCAAACACGATTTTTCGTACAATCAAGGGCCATAATTCAGGAAGTTACAATCCGATATGCGCGAATATAAAATGGAACCAAGATCTTTGGGACATAAACATGCATTTCAAGTTTCATCAAAATCGAATCCAAATTGTGAACTCTAAGAGGTCCACAGCCTTGATATACCATATTTTACATTATTTGCATAAAAGGGGCGTCCATTTTGTCCAGCAGTTTTGGTCTGATTTTCACAAAATTCGACCTCAACCTTCATTAGGGTGTAACGGTGATATACAAAAACGTTTTTTTTTTTAAATCAGATAAAAATTGTGACCTCTAGAGGGACTACAAGCTAAAAACACGATTTTTTGGTACAATCAGGGGCCATAATTCAGGAAGTTACAATCCGATATGTGCGAATATCGAAAGGAACCAAGATCTTTGGGTTATAAACATTCATTTCAAGTTTCATCAAAATCAGCTAAAAAATTGTGACCTCCAGAGTGTCCACGAGCTAAAAACGTGATTTTTTGTACAATCAGGGGCCATAATCCATAAAGTTATGGTCCAATACATGCCAATATCGAAAGGAAGCAAGATATTTGGGAGATAGACCTGTATTTCAAGTTTCGTCAAAATCGGATAAAAAATGTGACCTGTAGAGTGTCCACAAACAAATTGTGGACGTCCAGACGGACAGGGGTGACGAAAATATACGTCCACATGAAAATGTGGGCGTATAAAAAAAAACCCATAAAAGTGTGTTGTTTTAAACAAAATAAGGGTTGTTTTGGTGTTTTTTGAACATAAGAAACAATATCAAAAATACCAAACATACTGTACAGCAATAGAAATAAAGCTAGAAATTATGTTATCAATCTATATTTCATTTATAATAAAAATACATAGAATTCTAATTAATAATTTGTTCGATTATGTGTAACTATTTATATGAAAAGTAAATTTTTATATTGAAGAATAATGCTAAATGCATCAACTCTATTAAAATACAATTTTGATTTGTATTTTTACACAAAACTAAACAGACAGACATGTAAATAAGGTCTATCAACATCTACAAGAAATAAGTCATATTTAACCACACAAGAGATTTATTCTACTGAGCACTCACTATAAAAATACAGTTATTACAGTGTATTATTATGATTTTGGCAGTTAATATTTAACCTATATGGATATTTTTTGCTATTTTAATATGGAATGTTATGATTTTTAATTCATTTAATATTGTTAGATATGTCAATGATAGTCCAGTGGATATGTGCAAACATTGTTAAGTTTTTGTTAAAACTGCTTAGGTCTGCAAAGTTTCATGCTTTATGTGCTAACCATTTTAAGATTTGGGATAAGTCCAGAAACACCTTATTGATGTCTTGAGGTTACAACTAACCAAAATATTCGCTGCAGACCTAATCACTTTCAAAGCTTTGAAAGGATAGTTTTTATGTTTAATGACTGAAAAGATCCTCCATGTTGCAAAAGTGACACCAGGTTGAGTGGTCACCTGATATGCAATGAAATGACACATCGTATGTTTCAGCAGTGTGCTATGAGTGAAATTTTGCCCAGACAGAGCAAGTTCTTTCATATGCAGGCCACTGTGTTCAAAAAACTTGGTTTTTTTTGCCCCATTCGAATGACTTGATGCCTTTTGCAACACTGACAAGTTGAAACGAGACTGGAAATTCCTGAGGAATTTTGTCAGCCAAAACCATTAAAGATTCCAACAGCTTGACACCTCATTTGTCTACGATATCACCTTAGGTGGAAGTGGACGTAAAACCCCAGAAACGAACGAACGAACGAAATGACACCTCATTGGTAACTCTAATTAGAGATTAAGCCTTAATTACACCCTGTAAAATACTGTAGTTAAAAGTTCCACTAGCTTGACACCCAGATAATTAATTTAGCCCGTTAAAAGCGTAGGGCGTTATTAACGTCCTGGACAACTGCCACTCACCGTGTGTAGGACGTAATATAACGCCTTGGAGGTATTTTCCCCAACCTATTCTTCGAAAATACGATCACAGCATGTGTAGGACGTTATATTACACCTGGTCGAGGAAATCTAATTGAAGGGAGACAACTCTATTTACCATTAGTTTTAATATGGTTTCAGACAACTATCATTTGTATTCAGGAATAAAACGGTCCAAAAATGACGTTTTTCGTCAAATTAATTACACAATTGGGGGTACTTAACGTTTTAAAAACTACACAGTTAACGGGCTAGAATGATATTTGTTCCACTTGTCAAGTTGTGTCACCACACAATCTACTTAAAGATTCCACCAACTTGACAAGTTGTGTCACAACACTATCTAGTTAAAGATTCCACCAGTTTGACAAGTGGACTTCTGTGGGTAATGATTGACAAGAAGCTTGAAATAGTCTGGTAAAAAATATTAAACCCCTTGACACTTCAAACTCCAATTAAATATTCTCCATTTTAATGTTAATATATTACAGTACTTTACTGAACCAGATAGTAAAATTTGGTGCATGCCCAAAAATGTTTTGACAAACATGAACAGCCTTATAGGTAAATATTTTGCTATCTAAATTTGAAAATGTAATTGGCACTGATGACATCAAATATCTATTTTTAAAAATGGCACCAAATGCTGAAATGATCAGACAAATCCATAGTAGGCCTACCTGGAGACCAGGTTTCATACATTTATCACAAAATGAACAGTTTTAATGGGGGGTTTTAATACATATAGACTGGATTATGGATTCATGAGATATTAATTAGTTTTTGTTAAATTTATATTTAATATAAGCTCACAGCAGCTAAGTTGTCTGAGCTGTCCACATGGATTCTTGCATATACTGTATATTCTTTTGTAAGTAATGTTAGCATTAACAAGGCACTAAAAACTGATCAAGAGTAACAACCCATAAAGTAATTATCATAAATAAATAATTTTTGATTGGCTTCTACATGTAGTTCTTCCTGATGTTAAAACTTACAATACAAAAAATCTAGGCCTTCAGCGGGTTATGAGGTAATAAATTTGGCTACCAAAGAAATTCTAGGATTCTTTATCTCATGAATTACAACATGTGTACAAATATAAAGGCATTCGAGAAATAACTATATATCTTTTCAAAGTGGTCAAGGGCAATAACTCTGGCAGTAATTATAACTTTAGCTTCAATAGCGTCTACAAGCAATTGTGGATGACAGACCGACAGGGGTGATGACAAGATATGACCACATTTTCTACCACTATAAGTTTATGAACCAGCGGCTGCCAGGCAGGATACACCCACATTTAGCAAGAGAAGGATAAGCTAAAAATAAAAAGGAATTTTTGTACAATCAGGGGTCATAATCCACAAAGTTATGGTCTTAAATGTGCAAATATCAAAAGGGACTGAGATTTTTGGAATATAAAGATATGTTTTAAGTATCATCCACAATTATACACAATTTGCGTACAAAGAGCGTCCATTTTGTCGGGCAGTTTCATTTCGATTCTAGAGAATCCACAAGCTAAAAATGCGATTTTTCGACCAATCAGGGGCCATAACCCAGGAAGTTACGTTTGGATATGTGTGATTATCAACAGGAACCAAGATTTTTATGATAAAAACAAATATTTAAAGTTTCATCCAAATCGGATAAAACCTGTGGCCTCTAGAGGGTCTACAACCTTGATGTACCATATTTTTACACTATTTGCGTACAATTTTTGTCCGATTTTCACGAAATTCGAACTCAACCATCATTAGTGTATAACCTTGATATATTCACACGTTTTTTTTTATAAATCGGATAAAAATTGTGACCTCTATAGGGACCACAAGCTCAAAACGCGATTTTTCGTACAATCAAGGGCCATATTTCAGGAAGTTACCATCCGATATGCGCGAATATCGAAAGGCACCAAGATCTTTAGGTTATAAACATGCATTTCAAGTTTCATCAAAATCGAATCCAAATTGTGAACTCTAAGAGGTCCACAACCTTGATATACGAGATGTTCACACTATTTGCGTACAAGGGGCGGCCATTTTGTCCAACATTTTTGGTCCAATTTTCACAAAATTCGAACTCAGCCATCATCAGGGTGTAACAGTGATATACTAAAATGTTTTTTTAATCAGATAAAAATTGTGACGTCTAGGGGGACCACAAGTTAAAAGCGTCATTTTTCGTACAATCAGGGGCCATAATTCAGGAAGTGACGAACTGATATGCGCGAACATCGAAAAGATCCAAGATCTTTGGGATATAAATATGCATTCCAAGTTTCATCAAAATCGGATGAAAATTGTGACATCTAGAGGGTCCACAACCTTGATATACCATATTTTACACTATTTGTGTACAAGGGGCGGCCATTTTGTCCAACAGTTTTAGTCTGATTTTCACAAAATTCGAATTCAACCATCGTTAGGGTGTAACAGTGATATACTAAGACCTTTTTTTAAAATCAGATAAATATTGTGACCTCTAGAGGGACCACAAGTTAAAAGCGAGATTTTTCGTAAAATCATTGGCCATAATTCAGGAAGTTACAATCCGATATGCACGAATATAAAACGAAACCAAGATCTTTGAGACATAAACATGCATTTCAAGTTTCATAAAAATCGGATGAAAATTGTGACCTCTAGAGGGTCCACAACCTTGATATGCTATGGTCCGATTTTCATGAAATACGAAACTTGACAATCATTAGGGTGTAATGGTGATATATGGTACTAAAACGTTTTTTTTAAATCCACTAAAAATTGTGACCTCTAGCGGGACAACAAGCTAAAAACGTGATTTTTCGTACCATCAGGGGCCATAATTCAGGAAGGTACGATCTGATATGCGCGAATATCGAAAGGAAACAAGATATTTGGGTTATAAACATGCATATCAAGTTTCATCAAAATCGGATCAAAATTGTGACCTCTAGAGTGTCCACAAGCTAAAAACTTGATTTTTCGTACAATCAGGGGCCATAATCCATGAAGTTATGGTCCGATACATGCGAATATCGAAATATACCTATATTTCAAGTTTCGTCAAAAAATTGGATAAAAATTGTGACCTGTAGAGTGTCCACAAACAAATTGTGGACGGATAGACGTGTTGATGTCCGGACGGACAGGGGCGACGACAATATACGTCCACATGAAAATGTGAGCATATAATAAAATTGTTAGCTATGTCAAGTAGTTGGTATTATTGAGTTTCTTTTGATATTTCAAATACCAGATTACAATACAATTACAATGGCCAATATAAAGAAACTTTCCAAATGAACAACCCTGACTTGGACAGTAACATTCAGCTATAATATAAATCTAGTTGTCCTATAAATAAATTACAAATTACACAGTAAGGTATAGTTCCTATGAACGTAAATATAATAATTAATGTCTTTAAGCCCTCAATTTCATCATTTTTGCCAGTCCTGACTGATTGGTAATAAAAATGAGCATAACAGAAATTTACCTGTTAGTCAATCTACATAAATTGGGTACACAGGTCTGAATAAAATATTGTTTATAAAAGTTAATGAGGCCTTAGTTTATTATACTGTGTAGTGTGTACTTATCAGTATTATGTTACTAATCTCTAGTTGTTCAACATTTAGCTGAGTTGGAAATAAGACTGAACAAAAATCAAAACACCATTTCAATTGTCAACAAAAGGAAATGCCCAAAGAAAACTTGGGTATTGTTCTCAGTAGAGAAAATATTATAGAATTCAACTTACAACATATGCACTTAAATACTATTGAGATCTATAATTATTATAAATGCTTTCATTATTTTTTCCTTACTACATTGACTAAATTATTCCTATTGCTCAATATGTAAATTTATTTTGGAGTAAAACTAAGGTAAATTAAGTCTATAACAATTAATATATAATCATGTAAAAAAAAAACCCATAAATATCTATCTTAATATAATAATACTTCATTATTATTTATTATCATTAAATTATATTAAAACATGTTTATTAATGAATTAAAACAATTGAATATTATTTCTATAAATAAAGTTGATACCTTTTATAAAATATCAAAAGTTTTTGTAAAAATCCTTTGTACTTGTAGCAGTAGCAATAGTATATATATTTTTTTTAAAGCTTTCTACAAACTTTTAAATCTGACATTGCAACTATCTACAAATTTTTACAAGCCAACAATGAGGCGGATTTCCCCCGCCGAATTCCCAAAATAAATAGATGACACATATTATTTAATAGCACATTTATTTTTTTCAAAAGTATCAAGAATCAAACTTATCTTGTCCCAAAGCATCGACAAATGAAATTGCTTAGCTCTGCTTAGCTTTAGCTAAAAATGTTAATCATTGAACTCAGTGAAGACATTCAACTAATGAACATCTACATCAAGTTTAAACATTCTACCCCAATTAAAATCAGAGTTGCTATGTTCCAAAGTCTTGACCAATCAAAATGCTTATTGCTTCTTAGCCTAAGCAGAAAATTCTCATCATTGATATAATGAATCTATACTCAGAGTTTCATCACTCTCACTTAAAGGAGCTAAATCACTAATATTTGGGACCTAGAAATTCACACAAATGGGTCACAACGCATATAACAATGCAATATGAATGTATATAAACTGATTTACATCCTATCGTTTCTATTTTTATATAATTTCTAATCAGTTATGTTCGGCGAAATACGTCAGCAGTCTCAATAAAACAGCAATCTCTAACGTCTGGTTATTCCAGTCTGCACCGATAGTATTTGTTTGGCATGCTCTCCAGATAAGAATATGGCGTTACCATTTGACATGACTTGTGGAATATGTCTAGCCTTGTTCTCCGAGTGCCTTGTTACAAATGTCTATTTTGTCTTAAATAATGCATATCAGATGCCCATCTTTTCCCGATAAGATCACAACATCAATGTTGATTTAAATTGACAAAGAATTTGTGTTTTCAGTGTCGAAGACTTTGGATGATATTGAGTTAGAGACCTAGCTACTTTAAGTAAAACGAAAGTTATTGTGCACCAAAGCATCAACCATTCAGATTGCTTATCTCTGCTTACCCTAAGCAGACTATGTTTATCATCGAAGTCCATCAAGGCATTCACCTAATGAATGCCTACACCAAGTTTGAACATTCTACCTCAATTAGAAGAAGAAGTGTTCTCACTCTCACTTAATTAGAACTAAAGTTATCGTGTCCCAAAGCATCATCAACCAATCAAATTGCTTATCTCTGCTTACCCTGAACAGTAAATACTTATTATCTAACTTAGTCAAGATATTGATGTGATAAAACTATACGCCAAGTGTCCTCACTCTCCCTTAATTAGAACTAAATTTAAGTTATCGTGTCCCAAAGTATCAACCTATTAAATTGCTTATCAAGGTATTGATGTGATAAAGCTAAACACCAAGTGTCCTCACTCTCACTTAATAAGAACTAAAGTTATCGTGTGCCAAAGCATCAACCAATCAAATTGCTTATCTCTGCTTACCCTAAGCAGAAAATTCTCATCTTCGAGCTCCATCCAGGCATTCATTCACCTAATAAACACCTACACCGAGCGTGAAGATTCTAGTTCAATTAGAATGAGAGTTAATTGATGTTCCAAAGCCTGCTTATACTGAGCAGAAAATGGTCATTATTGAACTTAGTCAAGCTATTGATGTAATAAAACTATACACCAAATTTCATCACTCCCACTTAATTAGAACTAAAATTATCATGTACCAAAGCATCAACCTATCAAATTGCTTATCTCTGCTTACCCTAAGCAGGAAATGGTCATCTTAGAACTCCATCAGGGCATTGACCTAATAAACACCTACACCAAGTTTGAACATTCTAGCTGAATTAGAAGGAGAGTTATTGTGTCCCAAAAAGTGTGACGGACGGACAGACAGACAGACAAACCCATTTTAATAGTCCCCTGTTTTCTTTGAAAGCCGGGGGACAAAAACAAAAACTGCAAGTTAATCATAGACTTAATAAAAAATGTGAGTTTGATAGAGCTCTCATTCTTTAACATACAAATTAAAATAAAAGATAGCCATGTAAAAGCGTGCAAATACGCCTACCTACACAGTGGATATGTCTGAAAAATAAAAAAGAAAAAGAATATAGCTACAGACAGTAGCTTATCCAAAAGGAAAACTTGGACAGTGAACAAATTTCCTAAGGCCATGCCTTCAAAAATATCAATACTTCAAATTCAGTTTGATTAACTGTCAGTCTATGTGTCAAACCAATAATTAATGGTTTTCAAGGATTTCTTATCATCAAATGTTGGTGGTAAATAACAGTCTTAGTAGGTTATTCAAAAGTAGTTATATTCATTTTTTTGGTAAGAGTGATCAAGTGTCTTAAATAAAAATAAGAACTACATCAACATACTTGTCTATAACCTGTATCTATTTATACTGTCTCATTGTGACACACTTTAACCAGCATCCACTGTAGATTCACAATTTAAAGGTGAATAATTCATTATAAAATATCAAATGCGAATATAAGTATGATCGAATATAATAAGTATGATCGTACTATGGACCAGGAACTGACCATATTGCTGGATGAAATTCAAAAGTCTAATTCACCAAATTGATGCAGAATTGTTCACAGAACAAGCATGCCAATTTTTATGTCGATCAGACTTGAATTGATGGAGGCTTAGGCTTTTTTCGAATAGTGTCACCCCAAGAAGAAGAAGAACATAAGGTAGTGGTTAGCGACCAGTTCCTGGTCCAAAAATTGATAAAGAATTGCCACCAGATTTATAGTTCAAGAGCAGGTGTTTATGATCCTAATGTTCCAATATATAAAAGAATATGAGTATTATAAATGTAGAAGAGAATGAGACAGACTATATTTAAACTTATGCCTTATATATTAGTTACTTATATTGTATAAACAAATAATACTACTACTAAATACAATTTACTATGTTTCTGTTGCTAAAACTAAACATGTAAGTCTAATGTGTTTTCAGTGGCTGAGTGACATATAACGTGTTTACTATAACTCATAATAAATATATAAAGATGAGCATCATTAGGTTATAAACCATTATTACATTAGAAATCAGAAATGGCCAAATTACTCCACCTTTTTTTCCCGCCTGGTATTCCAAATTCAACAATTAGTAGTACTTATATAAACATGCCAACCTGGACAACCAATGAAAACAGCTATGCTATCTAGCAATGGTTAATGAGCAATTATAATGCTCAGCGATAATGTGAGATGCTGACTCAACAAGGTTAACTTTCAAACAGTCTGACAAATACCAATATAACTACAAAAAAATTGCTGCGATATAAAGAATTCAAGATAAAATTGGTCCAGTCAAGTGTAGTAGAATATATGGAATTAAGTTACAGTACAAGATATAATAGATGTTATTAAAAGCCATTTGGTCAAAGAACAGACATACAAATTAATAGTCTTGTTCAAACAGATTGTTGATATCACCGACATACAGTCATTGATATTTATACACAAGTGAAAGAGTTTTTCTCTGGGTCCACAGGGTCTAGTTACTTCTTCTATTAACACAAGGTAAAATGTTATTAATTTGCTTGGTAAGGACAATAGTGTCCTCGTCGAAACGTCACTTAGTATTAAACTGAGTAATTGTGTATTATTACTGAGCTTAATACTAAGCGTCGTTTCGACGAAGAAATCTCGTTTAATTCAAGCAAATACGTTTGGACGAGGATACTCTCGTCTTTATCAAGCAATATCCTCGTCGAAACGCCGCTTAGTATTAAATAAAGATTCGTTGCCAGGAAACAAAACATACGCCCACAGCAACTAAATCGTCCGAGCAGTCGACAAGGGTTGTCACATATTTATTCTTTTGTAGGTAATTAGGGGAATTTAATAGACAATTTCATACAGATGACATTATAATTTTCGTTGTTTGAAGCTTCACAAGGTTCTAAAGAATTAAAACAAGGGCCATAACTCTGGAAGCAATCTACAGAAATTCGACAGGCTTTTTTCGTTTTACTAATTCAAATAATGCATATAAATTTTATACAGATCAGATGATAACTTTTGTTGTTCGAAAGTTCACAAAGTTTAACAAAGTAAATCAAGGGCCATAACTCTAGACGTAAGTGACGGAAATTGCTGACATTCAATAGGCTTGTTCGTCTTCATTTCACTGATTTAGGTGATAACTGAAACTCTACAGAAATCTACAGAAATTCGACAGGCTTTTTTCATTTTACTAATTCAAATAATGCATATCAATTTTATACAGATCAGATGATAACTTTTGTTGTTCGAAAGTTCACAAAGTTTAACAAAGTAAATCAAGGGCCATAACTCTAGACGTAAGTGACGGAAATTGCTGACATTCAATAGGCTTGTTCGTCTTCATTTCACTGATTTAGGTGATAACTGAAACTCAATAGGCTTGTTCGTTTTACTAATTTAAATGATACATTTCATACAGATCGGATAATAACTTTTCTCGTTAGAGCATTTACAAGGTACAAAAAAGTGAAACAAGGGCCATAACTCACGGCGTAATTAACGGAAATTGCTGAAATTCAATAGGCTTCTTCGTTGCACTAATTTAAATGATGCATATCAATTTCAAACAGATCGGATGATAACTGTTGTCATTAGAGCGTTCAAAAGATTCAACAAAGTGAAACAAGGGCCATAACTCTAGATGTAATTAACAGAAATTGCTGAAATTTAATAGGCTTCTTTGTTTTACTAATCTAAATGATGCGTTCACAAGATGCAACAAAGTGAAACAAGGGCCATAACTCCAGAAGAAATTAACGGAAATTGCTGAAATTCAATGGGCTTCTTCATTTCACTAATTCAAATGATGCATATCAATTTCAAACAGATCGGATGATAACTTTTGTCATTAGAGCGTTCACAAGATTCAACAAAGTGAAACAAGGGCCATAACTCTAGATGTAATTAACGGAAATAGCTGAAATTCAATAGGCTTCTTTGTTTTACTAATTTAAATGATGCATATAAATTTCATACAGATCGGTTGATAACTTTTGTCGTTAGAGCGTTCACAAGGTACAACAAAGTGAAACAAGGGCCATAACTCTAGAAGAAATTAACGAAAGTTCTTGAAATTAAATAGGCTTCTTCATCTCACTAATGCAAACAACATATATCAATTTCAAAACAATCGGTTGATAAATGTAGTCTGTAGAGTGTTCACAAGAAATTGTGGATGATGGATGGATGGACTGACGGATGGACGGGGGTGACTTCAATATACAACCACATTTCCATGTGGGCGTATAAAAATTCAGTAATTGTCTATCTATAAAATTGTACTCTGTGTTAACATTGTTACTGTTTTAAAACCCTGTATAAAATTAACACATTGATTCAATCACTATTCCCATAAGACGTTTACAATGATAACAGACTTCAGTAAAATGACAAAACATATACTGTTTGACCAAACTATATGTGTCTGCTTGATAAATTGTTGCCATTGTTATATATCATCAATAAGTTATTGAATTATGCCATAGAAGTAAGTAAATATTAGTATAGACAACAGTACACTAACAATAACCGGTAAGATAAAGGGGCAACAAATGAGGGACGATTATGACAATAAAGTTAGCAAACATTAACAAAAATCAATAACAAAAAAACACATTTGATTTGGAGAAAAACAATGAACACACACTAAGTAAACAGATAGTCTATAGAGTAGAAATAAAATATACACCTTAAAAACCTTTATTATAAACTTATTATCACAAATATTATGTATTTCATCAACATATAATTCAATCGTAGATTTAGCACACTCTCATATCCTTCTATTTAGGTGAGGAAGGTTCAATATGAAACACATAATCAGACTGGTAAACACATGATGATAAGGGATTTTAACCTAACTGTCTACCTTTATTATATATGAGATGTAGATATAGGTGCTAGACATTGTTAAAGTAGATTTCAATAGATAAAGTCTAAAACTATATGATGCATTAGAGTGATATCTAGTCACTAAATACATCTAGTATAAACCTATTATTATTTTACACAACTGTTTCTGGTTTGGTTGCTAACTTGGCTTCCTCTAATGCCATGTTTGCCATTTCCAACGACTGTCAAAAAAAAAAAAAAAAATTTGTGTTACATAATAAAATTAAGAAAGGTTTCTAGGCAACAAAACATATCCCAACAAGCCAAGTTGTCTGGGCAGTTCATAAATAATTTTAATGACATCGGGAATGTTTAGTCTAGTAATGTAACAGTGTGGTATTTTTCATCATGAACAGTTCTTAAAAACCCCTAAAAAAACAGCAGTTGCCAGGCAAGATACATTTTACAAGAAATGGATAGAGAACAAGCTACAAAAAAAGCGATTTTTCATAAAATCAGGGACCATAATCCATGAAGTTATGGTCTGAAAGGGATGGAGATATTTGGGATATAAAGATATATTTTAAGTTTCATCAAAATCAGATAAAAATTGTGACTTCTAGAGGGTCCACAACCTTGGTACTACACACTTTTACACTATTTGCGTACAAGGAGTGGCCATTGATATACCACAACCTTGATATACCATATTTTTACACTATCTGTGTATGAGGGGCGGCAATTGTGTCCGTCGGTTCTTATCCGATTTTCGCAAAATTTGAACTCGATTTTCAATATTGTGTAACGGTGATATAATTGAATGATTTTTTTTAAATCGGATAAAAATTGAAGCCTCTAGAGGGTCCGGAAACTAAAAATGTGATTTTTCGTACAATCAGGGGCCATAATCCAAGAAGTTTGGTCCAATATGCGCGAATATCGAATAAAAATTGTGACCTCTTGAGTGTCCACAAGCCAAAAACATGATTTTTCATACAATCAGGGGCTATAATCCATGAAGTTACAGTCCGATATCGAAAAGAACCGAGAACTTTGGGATATAAATGTATATTTCAAGTTTCATCAAAACTGGATAAAAACTGTGACCTGTGTAGTGTTCACAAACAAATTGTGGACGGACGGACGTGCAGATGTTCGGACACACTGGGGAGATGATAAGATTCGTCCACATGAAAATGTGGGCGTATAAAAATGCTTTCAAAGCAGGATTTTGATAAAAATGTTTCAATTTTATTATATGTATCTATTGTTGCCAGAAGTGGATTAAAAAGATTCAAGTTTTAAATCCAACTATCAGGAATAATGCATGAAAAGTATGGAGCGGAATTTCCCCCCATAATTCTAACTCCTAACTTAGTAATGTGTATGCTAATATGCTTACTTCTATACATGTAAATTCTTACGAACACATGTAAAATTGGCTATTTACACATGTAAAAATGCTTATTTATATGACTTATTTTTTAAAGAGAATTTGTATTTTGTTCTATTTCCATTATTACTTTTACTTTATTGTAATCTGTTTAGTTTCGTTAACATTTTGACATTTCACAAATGTTACGCAATAAAGCCGTCATAATTCTAAGCCCATTTTGGTAACAGATGGCGCTATTCACAATTGTATGGAGGCTGATTAGGGACATTCGCCTTTTTCATAACCCGACAGATAAAAATCATAAAATATTTTATGTACAAAAGCAAACTATTGTAGATATTTTAAAATTATATAATTAGGCTTCACTGTCGTTCATTTTCCCCTAATACTGCTATATCGATTTATTTGGCATATTTTGTTGCCAAAAGAACAATAAAATATAAAGAAAGAACTCATAACGTCATGCACGGGAGTGAATAAATAAATATATACTGAGCGCCATGGAAAACGAATCACTTAGTTTTTTCGTATAACAAAATGATCCTGTAAACATATCTTATTTATTTTGCTTCTTATTGTGAACAATATTCAAATGGGAACACATCAATAACAACACATTTGTACACTTATGGATGTTTAATCTGTAATCAACGGTACAAAGTCAGAGGGGTTAAAACCAAAAGTACGACACAGATGTCAGTAGCGCGTGTGTCCTCCACGGGCTCTTACGCACGCTGTGCAGCGACGTCGCATGGAATTTACCAATGTTTGAAAGGAGGTCTGGGGCAAATTGTTACATTCTTGGACAAGAGCAGCTTCTAAAGCAGCAATGGTGTGCATCTGTGGTCTCCGATACAGACGGCGTCCAATCTCATCCCAGACATGTTTTATCGGTGCAATGTCCTGAGACATGGGTGGCCAGTCCAAGACATTGATGTTGTTAGCAGCCAGGTAGTCCATACTAAAACGGGCGGTATGCGGACGTGCATTATCCTGTTGGAAGTGCTAATGTTGTGGGTGCGCTCGAAACATCGGAACAACAATTGGTTGCAAGACATCATCACGGTAGGCTACAGCATTAACGCGCCCCCTGCAAATGTGTAGGGCGGTCCGGTGATGAAATGTGAAGCCTCCCCACACCATTACACTCCCCCCTCACCATCGATTCGTTTCGAAGACGCAGCAGTCTGCAAGACGTTCCCCAAGACGTCTCCACACACGTTGACGGCCATCGGAGTGATAAAGATGAAAGCGACTCATCACCGAAGAGCACACTTTGCCAGTCTACTCTACTCCATGTCTGGTGTCCTTGAGCCCATATCAAACGGCGCTGACGGTGATGATCCCTGAGGATAGCTCCAACATAAGGTCATCGTGCACGGAGTCCTACTTCTCTTAGACGACGTCTTACGGTGTTGGCACTTACTGGTCATTGTCTTCCGACGACTGCTGCACCTGTTGAGTCGCTGGGCGGAATCTGTCACGCAGATGAGTGACCCGAATGTAGCGGTCTTGAGCTTGGGTTGTAACGCGTTGTGGACCAGGACGTTGACGGTCACGTGTTGATCCAGTAAATTGAACACGTTCCACCAACCTTACAATAGTGGACTGATGACAATTGAAGTGTCTGGCAATAGCCCTGGACATTCCCATGGCTTTATTCCGTTGATTTTCAGTAAGTCCAACAACAAATTACGACAGATTGACGTTTCACAGTTCATGTACTGCACATAAGGTTGAAAAATGCTTTTAAAGGGCTCACACACAATGCTGCACGTGAATATTGGGTTTTTCAGGTGCATCTTGTGCAATTTTTTTTTGTGCACACGGGCCGATAATTTTTGCGTTTGGGAGCATTGTGTGAAACAATAGTTCATAGTATTGCATAATATTATACATACAAAACCACCTAAATAAAATATTTGGGAAAAAAAGTGATGCATTTTCCATGGCGCTCAGTATAAATAGGTAAAGATTAGTTTAGCGTATCTTTTCCCCTCAAATTTATGAAATATTTTACGCACAAGTAAAGTATTTTTGATATTATTTTAGCTTTCTATCAGGTCAAGCTTCCAAATCATCGTGAGCCGCGGTGGCTCGGAGAGTATGTCCCTGACTCGGTCTCGGGTTCACTCCCGGTGTTGGAAGAGAAAGTCCCTCAGGTTTTCCAGGGGGGGTTTCACCTTTTCAGTGGTGTAAGACAAGGTACCTGACAAGGAACACTGTCTAGTCGTTCTAATGGCGTGCACGTAAAAGAACCCTTGACGTTGGAATTTGAAATAAGGGTAGGCCGTAGTGCCGCTGTGATTAGCACAGTTGATGCTGAACGACGGGACGTTAAACTCGATTTTTATTAATTTAAAGATAAATTAAGGGAAAAAAGTACGATAAAAAACATAATCCCGGTTATCCATTTTTTGATTTAATCATGAATGAGCGTTGAGCAGCAGATCCAATCCTAATTCAGTAACCATCGCAGGCTAGCGATGACATCGACAGTTGATTATGGTCTGTTTAAGTTAATTAATGTCTAATTAATAATTTAGATAACACTTCAGGCCTAAAGAAAGACCTGCAATAGGCAGATTCAGCTTTTGCATGTTTAATTTCCAAATCATCGGATTATCTTATGAGGTAGGGGGTCTCATTGGGCATTGGGCGAACGATTCATCGCTTGAATTGATCTTATTAATCTCATTCCAAAGTTTGGTGTCATAACTAATTGGATAAAGGCCAAACGAATTTGGGTTGGTGGGTGTGTGCTGTAATTTTATATCTGAATTATCATTTCCTTTTTCTCAATTCAATCGAAAAACAAATAAGATATTGTTTATAAACCAAAACAAACGCACAAAATAACTTTGTTCTACTAGCATTTCTATATTACTTAAATATTGTCAGAATAATTTATTTCTGTACGTAACATGTTTTATATATCTTTAAAGAAAAAAATAGCCTATTACTTCTCTCAAAAATATCGAGAACGAATATTGCAAACAAAAGAGGCTAAATCAGTCGATAAGGCCGTATTAGGGCAAATGCACGACAAGTTGCCTATTTATTCATCTGAAAAATATCTGGAATAATTTGCTTTTGTACGTAAAGTATTTTAGTATTTTTGACAGAAAAATGTCATCATGTCTGACGGGTAATGAAAAGGGCGAGATTTTACATGTTCCCAATGAACCACCATATAGTAAACAGCGCCATCTGTTAGCATAACGTTAGCATAACCTGTTATGATAAGTCATAATTCTAACTCTCATTATGGTAACAGGTGGCGCTGTTTACTATATGGTGGCCCATTGAGGACATGTGAAATTGTTTCTTTTTATATAACCCCCAAAACACGACATTTTTTTCTTTCAAACATAGGTCAGGGATAGAACTTTATTTGAAAACACACAAGCAAAATTTTGCTTGTTGATTTCAAATGTACAAGCAAAAATAGGATTTTGAAGAAATTCAAGGGGCAATTTCATTATCTTTGGATTACATGTACAAGTTATGTTATACATTGGAGTGTACACATATATTCCTTACAATTTCATTAAAAAGCTAATGCCACGGCTAATAAAACACAACGATGAACACCCAAAACTGCCCTGAACACTGGGCTGGGCGATATTCCTGGAATTATCGCGATATCGCGATATTTCATGAGATGTCAATACCTTCAGTTTATCATCTTTTAAATGTAAATAATCATGCATATAAAGTTGGAAATACCCCTGGAGTATTAACTTGACACTTTCTAGTCAATATTATTATTTCTTGTCAATATTATTTTTAGCACACAGTACCGAATTTACAAACAAAATTAACAAACTTGCAAAAGTTGTTGTT